TTTCCCTAATCTACAAAATCATCTGCTTTTTACCTTGATCATAAGCAGAACAGGACAACAATGACTATGAATATTAAAAAAACAAACAAACATACACACACGTGCTTCTTGGGAAAGGACTTTAAAGTAGTTCCATTTCCTGTGATGATTCTTTGATCAAAAATGTCAAGTGATTTGGAACTGTTTGTTTTTAATGAAGAACATTGTTGGCATGTCCCATAATAAAATACAAATGAAAAATGACCTGATATAGTGAGAAAGGACTGATGCCAGAAATAAAAAAAAACTGAAACACAGGCTTGCCAAAAGTATGAATTTGGAACATATAAAGCAGTCCTCTTCGGATATGCCCAGTTTGAATCTAGATCCATACTTTGGCAGTATTTGAATGTGGGGTTTTGCCTGGCATTTATCTCCTAGAATTAATATTTCTGAGCTATGTTAAGGTTTACTGTAACTTTACAGCCCTCCTTCCTCTTATTTTCTTAAGGAGGAGACTAATTCTTCTCCCTTCGAATACAAGGGGACTCTCCAGACATACTTCATTGAGAACAGAAGTAAACCTTCTACTGTATATGTCCTTATTGCAGGGATAAAAAGACAAAAAAATATTACTTGTTTTATTTTTAAGTGATTTAGGAATAAAATTAATCGGATTTTCTTCTCTCAGAAGTCATCTTGCATAAACTGTTCAATATATGGACCAAAGGTTGGTAACACTCATCTTCTCTATCAGGCTGTATAAATATAGATATACCAACAAAGCCCTTGTAGGGTAGACTAGAGTTTGGGCAGAAAAAGATCTCTCCACTCATCAGATCTCAGAAGCAAATTCTGTCCTTTGCTAAGTGGAACTATGGCAATGGGAACCAAGAATAGAATATGGAGTCCAGTTATTTCATTCTCTTCAATGAACAATGTAGCAGGGCACTACGGTGCCTGCTACTGAGAGAGCAGGGAAGACTCCTCTGGTGCTGGTTGCTGAGGCAACTAGTGGGATAATGACCTGCACCTGCCTAGCCAGCTGAAGAAAGGGGCAGGGCCTGGCTCCTATATAAAGCACAGGCAGGAGGCCAGAGGTTGTGTCTGACTAGCAGCTAAGGGAGAAGGAGCTTCCTGCTAGAAAAGAGAAGCTAAGTCTGGATGCCAGAGCAACGTTGGTCACCATGGTAGGATAGAGAACCTGCTAGGCCTGAGCATAGTTATAGCTAGTGGCTTATGTTTATATGGTAGCCAAAAGGCTGGTGTTTATGTTAGTTTGCGTTTGCTATTGGTTACACCGGTGGTTTGGGTGAGGTTATTAGGGGAGGAAGGAGGCCTCATAGGGGACTCCCAGTAGTGTGGGGACCCCAGTGTCAGTGAGGGCACTGCATACGGGGTACAGAGACCCCAGCCCCAGAAAGGGGCAGTTGAGAAGGGCACAGAAAGAGAGAGAGATGGGACTAGAGAGGGCGCAAACAGAGGCCTAACAACGTCTATTCCAGCTGCGAGGCTTGGGGTGTGGTGTTGGGGTGGTAGGAGCCACGCATAGCCCATAAGGCTGAGGAGTACGGAAAACACTGCCATAGAAGAACTAGAAGTAACAGGACAACCGTGGCCAAGAAGAAGGAAGGCAGTCTCCCTATAAAAATATATACAATCGAAGTCATGGCGGGCGAGAATAGGAGGGTGCAAGCCGGCACCTTGGCATGGTAAAGGAGGTGGCAGGGGAGAGCACGGCAACCCTGACGTCCCTCCTGTTACAAATGAGATAAATTGCATTTATCATATGGTACAACAATGGCAGGGTTACTGTACGTCCAGGTTTTCCCAGACATCTCCTCCTTTTGAGCCCTCTGATCTCTGTCTGGGTGGGTTTTTTAAACCTGCCCAATTGTCCAGGATTTTGGTTTGCTTTGCTGGTGGGAGCATGGGGAGGGCAATAGGAGGCAGCAGAGAGTACAGTCATACCTGCCTAGAGCTGCAGGGGCATGTGCATAGCCATGGTGCTTGCTCCCTGCTGACTCCAATTGCCCTCTCCCTGCTCCCACCCCCAGAGTACAGCAAAATCCTAGACATTTGGTTGGGGCAGGGGGGGT